TTGATTGTTTAAAGGTATGGGCCTTTTAGATTGAGTCAGTCTCCCTGTAACTGCAAGTTGCCAAATAAATTCGTTAGTCTATTTTATTCAGGTGGAGCCTGTTCTTAATTCACTAAAAAGTGCTTTATTGAAGAAGCTTTGGACATTGATTTATAATTGCAAAGTATATATGGCATATCGTATAATGCCTGATAAAGCAGACGAATCACAGAAGGGCCGTCTTGCAATTTTAGGCGGAAACAGCACTTGTTATTGCTAAATTGAAAGTTCGCCCTCAAAGAGCCACTTGTCTTTTGTCCGTATAAAAATACCGCATGTATCTTTTTGTCAGATAACATCATTTCTTGTTTCGTGAATCTCTCCACTTTCTCGCATTAATAAAATTATTGGTGTTCTTACAGCTCAAAACTTCGGGAAAATGGTGCGCATGAACGTACTCTCCGATGCCCTTAACAGTATCAACAACGCAGAGAAGCGTGGAAAGCGACAGGTTCTCATTCGACCTGCCTCCAAGGTATGTCATCTTGTCTTTGTGTTCTGTCAAATATTGTTACTATTTGCTGCGTTGTATTTCACTTTTTTAGAAAACGTGTGAGCCTCGGTCCGAAGGGACCAAGGCTCTTCAGGACTATATCTAGTTCACTTATTTGAAAAATTTTAAAAGTATGTTTTGACCAAAAGTGGGCTAATATCAGTCTTGAAGACACCCTTGGTTCATCTGCAATTCATATTGCTGATGTCCAATGGAATGTTCATTCATTCACCAACAGACAGTATGTGCGGGTACGTTGAAGGTTACAGTCAGGTTTACCTTCAACAAAGCTAAAATTGTTGATTGTATTGATGTTAGAAAGCGAGATATCATCAGTTTTTCGAAAAACTTGTAAGGTATATATTGTGGAGTTGTTGTTAGCGTTTTTTAATATTTTTAAACCCAAGAATTCTTGAATTTGAAGTTTCGGTTCCTCTTGAGTAGCTTGTAAGCATGTTTTTGTAGTTGCACATCCAACGACCCCTGCATTACAAGGTAAGTGGGCTTGGTCCTGAAGCAACTTTGATCGATTGGATGGTTTATTTAGGGAATTTCTATCTAATTACCCACTTTTACAATTTCTTGGCGCAATTCGTGTGAGTGTACAAATTCCGCAAAAAGCCCTATATAGCTGTGAATTAAAATTCTAGCATAGCGGTCTCTATCAAGCGGTTTTTTCTCTGAAATTTGGCAGAGAAGTCATGACACATGATACTTTAATAAACTTCAATTTGACCTTACAGGTTATTGTCCGATTTTTGACTGTGATGATGCGACATGGATATATCGGCGAGTTTGAAATTGTCGATGATCACCGTGCTGGCAAGATCGTTGTGAATCTCAATGGCCGACTCAACAAGTGCTCTGTTATTTCCCCGCGATTTGACATCAAGATTAAGGTTT